GGGTGTTTAAGAGATGAATGGAGAGAAGGAGAAGGGGAAGACAATGCAAGGGGGAACAAGGGGTTTTGAGGGGGATGCTTAACTCTAATAAGGATATTGTTAAGGGTATGATAATAAGCGTGAGTGCCTCTCAAACACAAAGTGAACTATCAGGCACTAGTGTCAGTAATATTAGTGGCACTGTAGACAAGACCCATACCTGTAAAACTCGTCGATGACTTTTTCTGACGTTTTTTGAGGGGTGAAGACCACAGGCGCCAGAAGAGTACAGGTGAAGGGATTATTGTCTTGGATAAGTTTGAGGATTTTTGGAGCTTATTTGACTTTTTTTTCTATTTTTTGCCTCATTGTGGGGAAGGTCTCAGAGAAGGACACAGCCTTTAGCTCTGTTGTTTTCTTTTTTACTTTATTTTGTATTAGTATATTTTTTTCGCAAGCTATTAAGAAGAATATTACTTTAAGGGCAGCTGGGAGTCATTGATAAGATGGGAATTATAACCCTTTATCTATTTTTTTTTAATTTAGGAATATCAGAGTTGCATAGATTAGATGAGAATTACATAGCTGTTTAAAATAGGGGAGCTGCATTAGTGAGAGGGGAATTTTATAGTTGTTTAAAGCAGGATAGTTGCCCCTTTAAGAGGGGAATTATGTAAGTCATTATGAGAGGGGAGCAGCGTTGGAGAAAGGGACTTACATTGGTGTTTAAGATAGGGGACGGGTAATAGAGAGACCCATTACACGAGAACCTTAAGATGAAGATTCCCAGTGGTTAAAGGAGAATTAAATCCACGTTTAAGATAGTGAACCTGATCCTGGCAAGAGCGGGAATGTTGTCAGATTTTAACCATTGTATTTATCATAAGAAGAGTAGACGTGTGTGGCGGTGTATCTACGTCTGTTAACAGGTATAGGTGTAATGAGGTGTAGCTTATCTTAATTAGTGTCAAGGTAAGAGATGATAGTGTAGGTAAACTGATGTTGTGCTTGTTGTACCGCTGATATAACAAGGTACACTACATTCACCATTGTACCATTAAGTCATAAGACACGACGGTACACTCGCTTACCCTTGTACCGCAGGGAATGAGTGAGAGAGAGAGAGACACACAGAGAGAGAGAGAGAGAGAGAGGGGGGCAAGATATTCCACGCGGTCCTCTCTGCCATTGCACCATTAACGGCAGGATACAATACACGCAACATCTCTCTCCATTGCACCATTAAAGACAGCGAATAAAACACCCAGAGGAAACTTGGTATAGAATTTCATGCGTCACAATATACGGACCGGGTGGACAAGGCCGCTGCTCACTCAACACCACACCACACCACCACCACCGCCACCGCTCGCCGCAGCCTCCCATCCCGCCCTGACGAATTGCAAAGACTTGTTAAGGGCTAGGCTGAGATAGTCGCTCTCCTAAACGGTGTTACGAGGAGATGGTAGTAGACAGTAGTTGGTGTTATTAAGGCCTCTGTTGTTCTTCTTGTTCTTGTTCTTCTTCGTATGACACTGGCCATGTGGGTATTCGTCACCCAGGGTTGAGATTTGATAAGGGTAAGAATGGATAGGTTATGTATGTATGTATGGTATCTATCTCTGTATGTATGTATGTATGTATGTATGGTATGTATGTATGTATGTATGTATGTATGTATGTATGGTATGTTGCTGGTGGTGATTGTGTGTGGAGGAGGAGGAGGAGGAAGGCATCTGTGGCCACAAAAATTACGAAAAAATGTTTTCTTTTCTTTTTTCAAGTTGCAAGAATTTATATGTTACGTCCTGTCTTTTGTACTGCGTTAGTCTTAGCGTGATAGAGTTGTGTTTACCTGCGTTGGTCTTGTTGTTACTTGTTCATTCTTCACCTTAATTACCATAGAGGTTAATTAAGACTCGGATCATTAGTAATACTTTCTAAGACTAAATATATTCTTATAATTAAAAAGAATCTGAAAGTGTTAAAAATAAATTTTCTGTTAATTTTATTTATTTTTTTTGTTATGCCAGTTATAATATATCACATAATAACTAACGCTACCTGTATATACAATGTGATAAATTATTTTTTTTAATTAATTTTTTTTACCTGAAATAAACATAACATATAAATATAATTTTTACCTGAAATGAGAATTTATTTCACGTGTCGAATTTGTATTACGGACAACTATGGTTATTTCAGCCTCACACAACAATAGTTTTGGGGGGGAAGATTTACCTACGGACATTATGTGAATATCATCCCCCTCCCCTCCCTTCTCCCCCTGGCCCCTACTCCTCTCCTCCCTTACCCCTACCCTTCTCTCCCTAACACCCTCCCCTACCACTCCCCTCTTGAACCCTTCCCTCTCCCCCTTACACCCTCCCTCTCCTCCCCCTCCTCTCTCTTCTTCCCCCTCCCGCATCCCTCTCCACCCCCACCTTCCCCAACACCTCCTCCCCATGTGCTGAAAAATGGCGCGTCATTAAACGTTCAACAGGAACGATTAAAAGACAGCGCCAACGTTTCTTCATTAATGTGTCTCATTTGTTGGCGTATTACATCACGTGTGTGTTATTACCGTTCGCTCACCCTCCTCCTACCTTCCTGCCTCATCCTCCAGCACTCCTACCACCTAGATACCACACTGACGCCACCTATACCACCTCCTGATTCGTGTTAGTGGTTGGGGGTTACTCACTCGACCGGATTTCTACCGTTTGTGAGTTATCCGGCGCCAAGGTGTGTCCAGGTACGAAAGTGAACGAAACGGTGCCTAAGTTACTGGTGGAAGCCGCCGGATCTGGCCAAGTCGCATCCCATTACACATGAAAAATTGTGACCAAGAGCAAGTGTGCCAAAATATGGGAGATTTTTAATGAGGATTTTAATCACATCACTTTTATTATTATTTTTTTCTGACGAGTGACTCTGAAACATTGGTCTTAAGCAGGTTTTTGTATTATTATTATTATTTATCATTTGTCTATTGGGATGATAGCTTGCCCCTGGGGGAGGGGGGGGTTGTGTTTGAGTGCGTGAGTATTGTTGTTATCGTCGCATATTGTCGTGTACCTGAGTGTGTGAGAATCTTTCATTAAATTCTGTTTATATTTACTTTACAATATATTTATATTAGGTTACACAATTAGTATTTGTTTTACGATAATTGATATAATTCATAGTATAATATTGTTAATTTAAGTAATCAAGGTTACTATAATGTTAATTTAAGTTAGTAATAGTAATTGTTTTAAGTATAAGTGGTAATGATGATTTAAGAAGCGTATAACACCTAGTATTATAAGTAGTAGTAGTAGTAGTAGTAGTAGTAGTAGCAACAATACTGATGGTAGTATAAGTAGTAGCGCTCGTGGTTTTAAGTAACAATAGTCTTAAGTAACATCATGGCAAACAATACGTAGCAGTAACATCGACGTGACTAGTAATAGCAGTGGTTGTAAATAGCTTCTAGTCTTAGCCTGGGTTTGTGTTCACGAGTGTTTCTACGTTAATTGTTCCTCTTCACTTAAAAGAACAGACAACAAGCTTAATAAACGTAAACTAAAACACAAATAATAGTAACAATAGTAATAGCAATAATAATAATAATAGGCATTTCAATATGACACACTTGACAAATATAATGTAAGATAAAAAATAAACAAAAAATAAAAATAAGATTCATTTTAATTTTGTCTCTTAACTGTTGCTTAAGTGAACGGGTTAAGGTAAAGAGTTAATGTTGTTTTCATGTTAATAATTGAGTTAATGAGTTAGGTGTTACTTCTAATCTACAGCGATGAAGAATGTTTACTGTAGGATCCTCAGTGATTCTAAACGCATGAGGTGTAATGATGATGTTAATTGTTATAGTCTAGTAGTTTGTTAGGTAGTTAGTAGTTAGTTAGGTTGTTAGTTAGTCTTCATCTGTGAGTCATTGTCGCGGCAGTTAAGAAGTTATTTGTTGAGATATTTTTATACTTTCAAATTTTCGCTGAATTAGTTGGTAAAGTAAATCAGAAAATTGCAAATTTTATGCAGACGAATAGTTTATAAAGATGGGAAAACACTCGAGTAGCTATTGTTTGTAATCTTGACGACGGAGAGAGTTATAAATATATTTATTTCTCTTTGATACACGTCTAGTTTAAGGCTTCACTTCTCGGTAAAGTTTCCCTTCGTTATACTTTGGGAAAAATAATAAATCAATAGAATTATATATATTTTTTCACATTAATGTAACTATAGTATGAAGAATTTGTCGTATGTAATGAGTTGAAGTTTACGTCTTCGTTGTGGTGTCATGGAGAATGTGAGGGCGTTAGTTTGAGTCCGTGTAATTTGGGTCCTCTCTCAAACTCTCGCCATTTCTCGCAAGTGGAGGCGAGACGGGTTGACGCGACCGCTCCCTCCCGCCTTTCATTAATCCTCGGGAGGACGCTTCATTGTCATCACTTGTGATTTATCACTAACGAGTAGAGCGTTATGTTTTATTCATGCTCCAGCTATGTGGCTATATCTATGCTCTCTTAAAACTGCTACAAGAGATAGCACTGCGCTGTATTAATCTTGTGTCGTGGGACTGCCATGTGCAGAGCTCCGGTTATTGATGTCACCCGCTTTACTGAATTATAAGAAAGTGTAAATTATTTTTTTCAATCTATTTTTCATACTGCGTGTCGATTAGTGATTGATGACGGTGTAGGACAGTGTAGACCGCGACACAAAACCTCACCCAACTGTTCCTCTGCCGTGACCTTTGAGGCCGAGCGGTCACTGGTGACGGGAAGGCTGGCCTCAAGCGGCACCTGGCCCTCATCTCTCCCTCATATTCTTAGAGTGCTCTTTAGTTGCCGCCAATCACTCGGCGGCCCTCAGTTTAGTTACCAGTTGACTGCTTGTTACTGTACATGTCTTGTGTGTTTGAGTATTGTTTACAATAATCTGTGTTCCTTTACAGCATATTGCAAGTCATTGTTTCTTCAATCCTAACACAATTCTGTCCCTTGCAGATCTTCATGCACAAGTCTGCCATGCAGATGCACAACCGGGACCCCCACCGGAGTGAGGTGAAGCCCCACCAGTGCCAGCAGTGCCTCAAGGCCTTCTCCTCCAACCACCAGCTGGTGCAGCACATCAGGGTCCACACTGGTGAGAAGCCATACAAGTGCTCCTACTGTGACCGACGCTTCAAACAGCTGTCTCACGTCCAGCAGCACACGCGGCTACACACTGGTGAGTACAGTACCTGCACTTGTTCCTCTATCAGTCACCATCAAGCAGCTGCCTTACCCTATGACTTAACCTACTTGTGATCCAGTCAGTGTGGCGGGCCTCACCCTCCAGGGCCACAACCTCGTAGTTTACGCCCTATAGCCTCAGTGTCGTGGCCCCAACCTGTCTGGTGGTTGGGCAGTGCCGCCTCTGTCCAAAACTTTAATTATCGTGACCAGGGCCTTTATACCACCATCTACCAGTAACTCTCTACGGTGCGTCTATCATCATCTACCATTAACTCACAGTTCGTCTACCACCATCTGAGCATCAACCACTCACCACCTGTCATCCCCCCACCTTACTCACTCATTACTGTTTGGGTAACACCGTGACATCAACACCCACTTCACCACCGTCGGCCGCCCAATAACCCACCCACGCAGCAGCCGTCATCGGGCAGCTAACTACCTCTTCCCTCGCGCCTTCAGCTCCCCCTCGTGTAATTTCCCCCTCTCCGGAAGGGGATCACCACGCCCCCAGCACAATAATTCCTGAGGCTTAGACATTATATATTTTTTTAATCATTTAAAGGATTGTTGGTAATATATTTTTTTTACTCTGTCGATTTCATATATTTTCTATATTCTTCGTCCTTATAAGAAACGGCGATCAATAACTAAAAAAAAAAAATTTACATTGTTGAATATTTTGTTTTTATATTTATTTATTTATTTTATTTTTTGTGTTTCGTTATTAATTCGTGATGGTGGCAGTAGAGCTGAAGACGCCGCCGCCGCCACCGCTGCCTCGCCCACCCTAGCAGCAAAATGTGTTCTCCTTTATGTAACTCAGTCGAGAAAATTCCTGGCACGTGAAACAAAAGGTCGAGTTATGTTGGTGGAATATTCAAATTGGGTCATAAAATAAAGCGGGTCTCGGCCGTAGTGACTTCCCAGCCTAACCCTCTACACCTCCTCTTCGTCTCCCTTCTTCCTCTCCCTTTCCTATCCTATTTCCCCTCACTTCCCCCTCCCTTCCCAAACCAACCCCCCACCCCCTCCTTCATTGCGCTAGTAACCTACTACTACTACTACTACTACTACTACTACTACTACTACTACTACTATTGGGTATATCCATCCTTCTCCCCACAACCTTCCATTGCTCCCCATCCCCAACAATTACCAACACCCCCTAACCTCCCCTTAACAACCACCACCACCACTCCCCAACCTACCAATATCCCCCAACAATTACCCAACAACCCCCCTCCCCTGTCCCCTGCCTTCCCCTTCAAGTAAACACAAACAAATGGGTCTTGTTCAGAATGCATCGAACTTGCCTGTGTGGATTATTTTAGTAGTCTGGCGGTCGAGAAAAGCAAGTAACAACCATGAACTCTCCCCCCCCTTTCCCCTTTCTACCCCTCTCCCTCCACCTCCCCCCTCTCCCTCAACTCGTCTTTATGTGTGATATTTGTGAGCGCGGAGCCATAAACGGAGGAGCCGAGGAGCGTTGCCTCCTCCCCCATGGATAATAAAAGCGCTGACGAGGAACCTGGGTCGACCTCTCTTGTGTCGCGCCCTGGATGCCAACTCACACCATACACCGCCGCCTTCACTTTTCTTTCTCTCTTTCTCTCACTTTATCTCTCTCTCTCTTTTTATCTCTCTATCTCTCTTTCGCTATCTTTATCTCTCTCTCCATTTATCTCTATCTCTTTATCTCTCTCTGTAACTCTTTTATGCATCTCCTTGCATCTTTCTTTAGCCTAGATTCAAGATCCACATTGGTGACCTTATTTGCGGGTACAGATCACAGTGGGTGCAAATCACAGCTGCCTCAGATCACAGTAGCCTCAGATCACAGTAGCCTCAGATCACAGCAGCCTCAGATCACAGTAGCCTCAGATCACAGCGGGTACAGATCACAGCGGGTACAGATCACAGTGGGATCACAGCAGCCTCAGATCACAGCTACAGCACAGATCACAGATCGCAGCGGGTACAAATCACAGGGTACAGATCACAGCGGTAAATCACAGTGGGTACAGATCACAGCAGTCTCAGATAACAGCGGGTACAGATCACAGCGGGTACAAATTACAGCGGGTACAGATCACAGCGGGTACAAATCACAGCGGGTACAGATCACAGCGGGTACAGATCACAGCGGGTACAAATCACAGTGGGTACAGATCACAGCAGTCTCAGATCACAGCGGGTATAGATCACAGCGGGTATAGATCACAGTGGGTACAAATTACAGCGAGTGCATCTGTGGAACTTTGCCATCAAGACTTCACGAATTGGACTAAAATAAGAAAGGTTCTCTCTAACTCACAGCTGCCAAGGAGGAATATTCTTTACGGTTCAGGATATAAAATTGATTGCCTATAAAATCGCATCCTGCGCATCTTCCGCCATTATTTCCGTATTTAATTTCCATTTCTTATTCTTTTGTGTGTAGATGTGATTCAGTCGTTCGTTTTAAAACCATTTTTCTTTGTCGTCGTAGGTTTTGTTTATCTTCTTGTTTCTTCTTCTTCATCTTTATCTTCCTTTTTTTCTATCTCCCTTCTTTATCTTTCTTCTTCATATCCTATCACATCAACATTTTCTTCACCTTTTTCGTTCTCTTATCCTCTCCACCTCCTCTTCTTCCCCCCACTCCTTCCCCCTCCTTCTCCTGCCCCCCCACTCCTACTCCTCTTCACTCTTTGTCTGCTTCACCTTTAATCATCTACAAATTACTCGTCCACGAACTGAAAACATTAATTCTACTCTCTATATATGACGGTCTCGTGCCAGGCATTTAGTGTACAGGACTGCGGGGTCCACGAACTGAAAACATTAATTCTACTCTCTATATATGACGGTCTCGTGCCAGGCATTTAGTGTACAGGACTGCGGGGTATAAGGCCGACAGCTAACTCATTATAAACCTAGCTGTCACCCCCCCCCCGACCCTCCTCCTTCTTCTTCCTTCTCCTCCCGGTATTTGTTGTCTTCCTTCTACTCCTTCTCGTTGTTTTCCTCCTCCTCTGATGATGATAATAATGCATGGGCTGTGTAGTTATAGGGCGTTATATAGCTTCAACGATGGAGGTACAGGAGAGAGGGAGGGAGGGAGAGAGAGGGAGGGAGGACAGTAGAGGGAGGGAGGGAGAGAGGGAGGGATGTCATTAAGTAAGAAGAGGAAGATCATCAAATGTGTCAGAGGAGAAGGAAGGAAGAGGAAGAGAAGGAAGAAGGAAGAGAAGGAAGAGGTTAAGGAGGAGAAGGTTTTGTGTTGTGGTTTATCGGCTCTTTGATGTCTGGCTGCTTACACACTATCTACTGTTCTTTATACCGAAAACTAACAACAACTCAAAGTTTTTGATGTTTAGTTTTACTTGATTTGTTATATCATCTTTTCATTACTTCGAGGTTTTGTTGTTGTTTTTGTTTTTGTGTTTGTTTTTTGTATTTGTTTTTGTTTTTGTATTTGTTTTTGTATTTGTTTTATTCATTTACGGTTTTCATCTTTGGTTTTGTTCTCATATTAATTTATTCTCGCTTTTGTGGTTAATCAGCCAATAGTTTTTTTATTTTGTTTTTGTGTTTGTTTTTTGCCATCGATCCGTACTTTGTTTTGTTCTTTCTCTTCTTTATTGTTTCTCTTCTTTTTCCTCCTCTGTTGCTATTCTTATTTTTCTAATAATTTTCTTTTTTTTTTTTCCTTTTCTCTTCTCCTTTTATTCTTCCTCTTGTTCATTTCTATCTCCTCTTCTTCCTTACTCCATTTCTTCCTTTCTATCTCATATTCTTTTCCTTCCTCTTCTCTTCCTTTTCTACCCCCTCCTCTTCTCCTCCCTCCTTCTCTCTCGTCATATCTCGCCCTTAAGCATTCAAACAGATAACCCTATATAAATGATCACTATATACCACACCACACCACACCACACCACACCACACCACACCACACCACTGTAAACACGACACAATGTAAACAAACAAACAGTCGGTCACATATGTATGAAATGGAGACGTTTTTCTTTAACCTTTACTACAGGTTAATTAATTAAGAGAAATCTGACCAAACAGGTAATGAGGCAACGGTGCTGAGGTGTTGGGTCTGTTAGTGATATCTATGCCGTTGTTCCTGTTAGATATACCGTTTGTTCCTGTTGAGTCGTTACTGTTTTTTATTTTGGGGGGTTGAGAATGTGGGCGTATGAGTCACTGTTATATACTACTATGGGCGTAATAGAATGGGTGGTATTTATATCTATTCTTTCCTTAACCCATGCACTCAACACACACACAAACACCCACCATCCCACCCATCCCACCCACCATCCCATCAACCCACCCATCCATCCATCCCACCATCCACCCATCCCACCCATCCAACCCCCATCCACCCATCCACCATCCACCACCCATCCACCATCCACCCCACCCATCCCACCATCAACCCACCCATCCACCCATCCCATCCATCCACATCCACCCATCCCACCATCCACCACCCATCCACCATCCCACCCATCACCCACCCATCCCACATCCCATCATCACCATCCACCCATCCCACCCATCCATCCCATCAACCCACCATCACCCACCCATCCTACCATCCCACCCATCCACCATCCCACCCATCATCCACCATCCATCCACCCACCCATCTACCCATCACCATCCCACCCATCCCACCCATCCCACCACCACCATCCCCACCCATCCCACCCATCCCACCATCCCACCCATCCCACCCATCCACACTTATCCATCCCACCATCCCACCCATGTTCAACAGCTCTCCAATCTCTTAAATGGAGGAAAAGTCTTTTTTTTCTTTCTCCGAGTATTACATTTGAGGACCGTCTCCCTATAAGGAGGATTTGAGACGCCTTTGAGCAGCTCAGCCTGACCCACTGCTGCTGTTGCTGCTGTATCCTCCTCCAATAGGTTAGGTTAGGTTAGGTTAGGTTGAGAAATGTTAAAATTGGACTTTCATTCTCTTGTATCTCG